ATTTCAAAACGTGTGCACCTTCTTTTCGCTATCTTCTAGGGCACTCCCATTCTCCTGCAGCTTCTGCAACAAGGAGCTTTATGTGAGGCAGCAACGGCGAGGTTCGAGGTGAGGTAGCGGTAGCGGTAGCGAGCAATAGCGGCGAGCAGAGGGGACCAACAATGAGCGACGTCGAGCAATGGTGAGACACGACAGAGCATCTGTGAGCATCCAAATCCGATGCCAATTGGAAGTAGCTCGTTGGTCGTTCTCCCATCTTATTCTGTCATCTTCTTCGTCTTCCTTGATCTCTCTCGGACTTCTTGTTTTCTCCTCCTCTTCGATTTCATTGAAGATCTAATTTTCTATTTCTTTAATTTTTAAAAAGGTCACATTTTGTTTTAAAAATGCCATCAAGATGACAATATTCCCCTTCAAAAATGTCATGTTTTGCTTTGAAAATGTCATTAAGATGGTATTCCCGATTTATGTTGACATTTTGATAAAAAAAAATGGCATTAGTATCAACAATGGCCAAATCAGAAACGGTTGGGGCCGGATCTGCAGAGGCGCCAACCGGTGGTGGTGGTCATATCTGCAGCAGCGACAACCAGATCCGCAGAGGTGGTGGACAGATCTACATCGGTGGTTAGTTTTGAGGCAGCGCCGGCGGCCGGCGACCATTGGCGACCGACGGCTGGCGCAGTCCGACGTTTTGTCACTAGGAGTATGTTTTTCTATGTTTCAGAGTTATTTCTGCCCAATCACAAATAATAACTCCTATTTAGTATTCAGGGAATTTTATATCTTTAGTCCTATTTTGGCAATTAAGGATTTATTTACTCCTATTTAGGTAAAGAGATAATTACCCTATGTATGACTAAAACTTATTCACTTTCTCAATTTTTGACCTAACTAGTTTTTTAACAAAATAATATTAAAATTGATAATTTTAATTAAAATTCGTAATAAATAAATAAATAAATAAATAAATTTGATGTACAAATATAACCTTTGAATTATATTTATAAAACCCTAAGCTCCAACTCTTTTTTTACAACCCTAACATTTAATCCTCCGCCTCGATAGATCAACGTCTCCTATGCCCAGCCGCACACCCCTTGCTGCCACTAGCCGCCGCCCAGCCACCCGCCGCCAGTTCCCTGCTGCCGCTCCACGGTTCACCGCCGTCAAGGAGCACAATCGTCGGCACTAGTGCATCAACTCGTTGCTTGCCCGACCACCCCCCAGGCTTCCTCGCTGCAGCCATTGCTCAGATCTACCCCGACACCACGACGCCGTTCCTAGATGTGTGCGCCGCCGCCGTCCGGATCCATGCTTGCCGCCGCCGTCCGGATCCATGCTTGCCGCCACCGTCCTGATCCATGCTTGCCGCCGCCTTCAAGGCCGGACGACTCTACCGAAGAGGGAAGCTCGTATAGAGAGGGTAAAGAGTCCATTTACGTGGATGAAATTGGGTCTGTCCTCAATTTAATTTGGAAGGAAGGCCCTGCATTTTATGTGGACAAGGATACTACACGAATTTCTTTTTAGTGGATCATGACATCATATGGGATTTGACGTTTTATTAATCGGGAGTGCTAATATTCTTTAAACTTTTTACTTCTTTTTTGTGAAGTTAGGGCTTTTGGGTATCAATTTTGTTTGGGGTACACAAAGTGTACACAAGTTGTACACAATATATATACCTTCTTTTTTTACCACTCCACTTTTATCTTTTACCCATTTCCCTCTCTCTCCTTCTTGGTCGCTCCATCCTCTCGTTGTTTTCTCTCCGGCCCTCACCTTGTTGCCTTCTTTCACCTTTCTTTTATTTTTCATCTTCAATCCTTCTCCCATGTAACTTCTAAAACATTTTCAATCCTCCTCCTCATGTAGTTGTCATATATGATCCGTTTTTCTATATGGTTGATCATTTTTCTCAAATCATGAGGTAATATCCATTTCCTTTTTTTTCTTGTTGCTTTGCTTTTTTTATATATTTGTTCCGAATTTATGTATATTGGGTATGTTATAACCTTGAATAGTTGATTAATTTGTTTTATTGTAAGAGATTTGAGTGTTAATTATTGAAATTTTAGGATAATTACTCTAGTTCATTTATGCTCATAATGTGTTTGTTGAAATGACTCAATGAACTTTTTGTTCAAATTCATAATTTTGTTCTCGTTTTTGTCAATGTACATTAGTGTATGATAAAATTTAGACTATTATTTATGTTTTCCAATTTGACTATGATATACTCCGTAGTAGTTTTTGATTGACTATTCTTTGATTATTATGAATTTGCTAGATGTTTTTTCTTTCTCATTTTTCAGATTTTATGTATGTTATTATGGTGTTAAATGTTTGGTATGATTTTCTTCCATATGCTAAAAATATTAGGATCCTTTTTATTATGTTCACAGAATGAGTTCAATTTGTTTTCTAACTTGTTGGCCATGAACTTGTGTATGAGCTGAAATTGGAAGGTTGGTGAAGGGTAATTTTTTTATTTTTTATTGTTAATCCTCAGTTTTCTAAAATTTGTAGACTCCCCCTTCCAATGTTCATTGTATATATCTTCATAAACTATGACCATAAATAGTCTTCATTATATAGATCATTCTATGAAATTTTTTATTTTTTCCCTGCTCATAACTGCCACACTAGCACAATAGGCAACTTATTGGTGGCCACCCGCAATTGTTTAAGCTGCATGTCCCAGTTTCTATTCCAACTTATAGGAATGAAGATTCTTATTTGGCATGAAATAAACGCGGTAAGGGCTGTAGGTTAGATCACATAATCTGTATATTTCTTGCACAAAGAGAACCATAACTATGAGTTTATAATGAACATCAAATGGCTGAATATATTGTCGAAGTTTTCTATGTGATTTATATGTATACACAATAGTTAAATTATTCACATTTGTTTGTATTGAATATATATATATATATATACACACAATAGTTAAAGAATTCACATTTGTTTGTATTGAAATGATATGTTTTTAAATGTTGGTTTAGCATTATCTATTCTGTATAACCATTTTGTGTTGGTGGTGTTTCCTCCTTTGAATCAATACTTTCATTGCAATGGATAACTATGCATTGTTTGCAAGAGTTGTGTTGCAGTTAGTTTTTTTTTGCTCCACCATGGGGCTTTACGGGGTGAAATGAAAGGTAAAGTTGATTATTGAGATGACCCGTTGGTCAAGCATATGGTGGTGTCAAAATGGGGTAGAATATATGACAGATTTATGACTCTTTACATTACAATTAATTACTTTGTAATGTTTACTTTTTTAGGAAACATGTACCTCAAGCCTAGTAATATTTGAGCAGCTACACAGAAAATCTTCACAAGGAAGCTATGGTGTAGATACTATGTATATGTTTCACTTATATTTTGTAATTAGTATGACAGTCATGACATTGTTTTGAGTACACAAGGCATTTAACATAATTTAATTGTTAAATTCCGTTTTGAATTTCTTTTGATAAGCATAAAGTTTCAAAGTTAACCGATGCCAAAGTTTACGGTTACCATGAAGTTTACATAAACTTTAAATATAATAAATTTATTGTTAACTTAAGAAGTGCCTAGACACATGTCTGAACACTACAACGGGCTAATGGGCTAAGTGAAATTTTCATAGGTAATAGTCACTAGAAAGGATTCATGTACAACGTGAAATTGTCTGTGAACAAGATGTGTAGTGTCTGGTCACAGACAATAGTCACTAGAACGGGTTAATGTGCAAAATGAAATTGTTTGTGAACCAGACATGAATTGTCTGGTCACAGACAATAGTCTCTTGAACACTCTAATTGTCTAAGTGAAGTTGTCTGTGACCAGACACTTTAGACCAGGTTCACAGATATTTCCGTTTAGCACATTAGCCTATTCCATTGGCTATTGTCGGTAACAAGACACTTCATGTCGGGTATACAGACAATTCCACTTAGCACATTAGCCTATCCCAAATTGTTATTGTTTGTGGCGAGACATTTCTTATCTGATTCACAGACAAATCTACTTAGCAAAACAGTCCATTCCAATGGTTATCACCCGTGGCCAGACAATTCATGTCTAGATCACACTTAATTTCACAAAGCAATAAAAACTAAGAGAAATTAAAAGAACTCTTGAAAACGTTCAATACAAAATTGTATCGTTCAATACAAACTCTTGGAGTTTTTAATTTTTTTTTCTTGGATGAAAAATGTATCATAAAAATGTAAAGTTCTTTGGATGTAAATTTGTTCTTTGGATGGATTTTTTTTAAAAACTACTTAGCAAAACAGTCCATTCCAATGGCACATAAAAATCTACTTAGCAAAACAGTCCATTCCAATGGCACATAAAAATTTTAAAGTTATTGGAAATTGATTTCACTCGATGTAAATTTGTTCTTTGGATGGATTTTTTTTTTTTAAAATTTATTAGCATTGTCACTATGATCTTTCAAAATTGAAATATAATGGTATCTACAAATATAAGTGATCAAATATGACATTGTATCTAATGGTTTTGTGAGTGACTATTGCCTGTGATCAGACACTTCATGTCTGGTTCACAAACAATTTCACTTAGCCCAATAGCCTGTTCTCGTGACTATTGCATGTGACCGGACATTTCAGGTCCGATTCACAGACATATTCACTTAGCTCATTAGCATTCCAATTTCCAAACACTATAAATTTTTTGTGTGCATTTGTAATCCTTAAATGCTTTCCTTTTTTTTTTTTTTACTAAACTGCAATCGAGCAACAATATTATTCTTTAATGTTATACTCTTCATATGTGTATATAATAAAGATAAAGCTATGGTATATTATGTGGAAATGATTTAAATGAATTACTTATGATCATCAATCAACAAATACAACAAGCTACGAAACTGTAGCTTTTGATGTTTTAAGCAAACATACAATTGCCAAACAATGACCTCAAACTTACAAAGTAACACCTGAATCACAAGTCAAAAGGATGATAATAGAATTTCAAAATGACACGCTTTCTGGTTTCAAACACACACCAAAAGGTTGTACACACAAAAACCTGGGAATTTGACTAATGTCCCAAACTTAAAGTAAACAATCAATATTGACATGTTTGTCTAATCTTCTTGCTTCTGCTAATATTGTCATCCACTCCATGGAGTGTATTATGAGCATGAAGAAGAGATTGGCGTTGCTGGTGCAAATCGTGAAGGATTGAAACCCCGAGCTATTGAGTTTGCAACATCACTTTGCGGGCTTCTCTTATGCTATCACTAGACTGATTCAATCTCTCGGTTGACATCATCAGTCTTTGACTTTGATCAGTTGATACCTTAGCATCTACCATTCCATCAGTTAATATTGTCATCCACTTTGACTTTGATCATCGCTTTCAAAAAATGAAGCTTGAAATATTTTACGTTTGCTACACACACATATAAAAAAAGGTTCGGAGTTATAAAAATGAAAAGAAGAAAGAGCATATGTCGGGAGAGTTTCATTACTACTCTAACCTGCTCAACTAAACAATATGTCATATTGTTACAGATACCTAAATGTTTGATATTCCTTCCTTTTCTAGAAACAAAGAAAATGAAAAATAGGTAAAACTAAAACTTCCCTACTCATATAGTAATATACACTTCCATCATGGATAACCCAAAAATTATATTTTCTCCAAATCAGATTAAGACACAAACCATTTCAATTATTTAATACCTACATATTGCCCCAATCCCACACTTTACCTAGTCAACGTAATAGATACATGAAAAGACAATCAATAATAGTTAAACCACATTTAGATCCATAAAAAGACCATTAAAGATACTGCTTCCAAGCATGCTTAATTAAATGTTGAGATATTAACATTGAAACAGAATTGAATTCTAGTTTATAATTAGCAGATTAGAATATCTACAACATCACTGTCTACAGTGATGAGAGAGCTTCCCATTTACTTAATTAATATCGATCCTCAATCCCAATCATATCTTCTACCTAAACCAACAAGCTTAACTCCAAAAGTTCAACTATAGTACTGAAGTTATGATAGTTCAAGCAAATAACTGTGTGAAATTAATGATAGTTAAAGAAAATAACCCTATACACATGAACAACAAAGCAGAATCTATCAAACTCACACAATATGCAAGATGTGTGACTTTTTTCCAAGAATCTTAGTGTTCAAAACACCTCAAAAGATGCAATAATATGTGAAAGTAGTTGAGATACTTGAGAAAAGGATTACGAGCTAGGAAGAGAATATTTTGGATAGGTCTCATACTCTCATTCTCTTCAATGCCCCTGCAACTCGTTAAATATACTATTAGGCTAAATAATAAAAATCCCATAAACATATGTGAGAATAATGTTCTAAAGCACCATAATTAACTTTACTATTACAGAAAATAAATTAAAATATAAGTTCATATCTAACTATAATATTATTTAAGTATTCAACTACAGTCCAAAATTAAAAATACAATGGATGGAGCAAAATATCAATATTTTTCCCTTTTACCTACTCGCATTGCAATTAAGAAGAGGAGTAGTACAGAGGCGGCATCCATTGACCATGATCTCAGTTCCTTTGATTTGCAATGACATGACCACGGCTTTCTTAAACACTAATGTACATTAACAAAAACGAGAATAAAATCATGAATTTGAACAAAAAGTTCATTGAGTAATTTCAACAAACACATATCCTGCGCATATATGAACTAGAGTAATTGCCCTAAAATTTCACTAATTAACACTTCATATATCTTATGATAAAAACGAATAAATCATTTATTCAAGGTTATGTGATACCCAATGTACATAAAATCGGAACAAATATATAATAAAGCAAAGCACACAATATTCACATCTCTTACAAATATATATTTTATAAATGAACAAAAAATCGGAGTTAAAACCCTAATTAACAATAACGAAACAGGGGAAATTTATTATCTAACGAGTTAGGGTTAAAGAGATTGGATTGAAGGAAGATGAAGGGAAAATGAATACCTTGATGGAAATGGAAACGAATGGCCGAGTCTGGTTCTGTCGATGTTGTCTTCCCGTCTTCTATAACAACAAAAAGAAAAGAAAAATTTAGAAATGAGAGGTTGTTATTACTAAGGAGAGGCGGAGGATTAGAAAAACTGGAACGAGGGGGGATTTTCGTAGAAGAGGAGATAAGGGCTGGAGAGGAGAGTGAGAAAGAGGTGAAAGGAAAAGGGAGAAAAGTGAATGGTAAAGGGGAAAGGTAAAAAAGACTATATATGGTGTACATTATGTGTACTACATGTGTACATATAGCATTTTCCTTTGGGTATTGATTATGATTTGTGGGGTTTAGTGCACCAAACCCCCTCGTGATATGGAAATTCGGCGCATGAACCCCCTGTGATTTAAAAAATGCGTCAAACCCCTTGTGTTTTAATTAATTATGCGTAAAACCCCTTCTATGAACAAAATAAATTGCCAAATAAAAGAAAAATGATTAACATTTTTGTATGATTTAGAGATTTTGACATATTTACTTGCATATTCAATCAGAATATTGGGAAAAGTGATTTCCAAATCGTTAAATTTATTCATAAAAGGGGTTCTGTGCATGATTAATTAAAACACAAGGGGGTTTGACGCATTTTTCAAATCACATGGGGCTAATGCGCTGAAATTCCATATCACGAGGGGGTTTGGTGCATTAAAACCATGATTTGTGGGCATTAAATATGGGCATCTAATATCTGCGGTGAATGCTTTGATAAGTGTTATGTATGAGCAGTGAGTATACTACCTCCGTCCCATTTATATTGGGACGGAAGAGGGTGACACGGTTATAAAGAAAAGTGGATTTGTGTGGTTGATATTAATTGATAAAGTAAGAATGATTTAGAGCCACACAAACTTTGTCAAATATGGTATGGGGCAATTTAAGTGGGACTTCCCGAAAAGGTAAAACATGACAATATAAATGGGACGGAGGGAGTATATGGTAATAAACATGTTGTTCATGGCAGTGAATGAATGCATTAAAAAAAATTTGCAATGATTATGGCAAGTATTGCAGTAAAATAAAATAGTAATATCATCATGAAATGCAATATATTTAATTAGACATAAAATAATAACATTAATAAATCTAAAAAGCAAAACAATCCTCAAAGTGAATGAGAAGAGAATAAATTTTGGCGGAAGTGTAGTGATTATTATTGAATGTGCAGTAAAGTCGTGCATTGATGTCATGCATTAATGGTAACATAAAGTGCAGTAACTTTAATTGAAGGAAATTAGTGCAAAATGCTACATTTTTTGAATAAGAACATTTTCTTCATTCAACCTTTCAAAACAAACAAAATTTCTTTTTTTTTGGAATTTTTAGTCATACAAAGGTAAAAAAACTAGTTAGGTCATAGATTGAGAAACTCATTGAGTTTTAGTCATACCTTAGTAAATTTCCCTTAGGTAAATCCCCTTTTTATTATCAAACATTCTCATTTTTACTTTTTGGTTAGAAACACTTTTAAAGTTTAGGTTGAGTGATGAAAGACATATTGACACCGTCATTAGTTCAGTTAAATCTTAACGAGTCACATTGTTTTTTGGAGGTGATAAATTTTGAGTTTGGTTAAAGGGCATAAGGTTAAAAATGAACTTTTTATCTTTTTATATCTTACATAAATTGTGATTATTTAATATAAATCACTTTCTACCAAAAAAAATAAAGGAAAATTTTACGGTGCATTTAGAATTGGGGATGTTTTGGTGCATTCCAAACATGGCACCCTCTGATTGATAGTTTAATCCATGTCACGTTTCTTTTTAATTTTACCTTTATTGCAAGGAGGTCCTTTCCCAAACCAATTTCTGATACACCGAATTGCTTCATGGAAAGAAACAGAGCAAGAGACGAAAGCTATTACCAGGTTTCCGGCGTCTGGGAACGTGAAGGAAATTGGGAAAACAGGGGTGACATCTTCATCGATCGATCACTTTGGGGCAGCGGTTCAATCCACTGTGGAACAACTCTAGGTAAGTGTATGGTCTCGTATTTGGTCACTCTTCACTAATTAAGTTGTTATCCCTGATTTGCTTCGCATTTTGGATTTTAAATTGTTTAGTGTCAAGTTTAATGAAGTCCAGTTCAACGAATCTAACAAGGTCAAACTATTCCGAATATTTCTTTCTTAACTCGTGATTGTCTTTGTCTATGGGCAACATTTGGGTACTTAACTAGAGGTTCAGTTGGCAACAAGGTTAAGTTTACCAAGTTAGAGGAGAAAAAAATGTAATCTTCACTTTCTTGAAATATTATGATTGATGTGCATACTGCAAGTGTATGTGTAATTAGCAATTCCAAATAGAATTTGGTTCTTTTTATTATGGAAATATTTTTCCTTCTAGTTTCAGAAGCGAAAGCGAAAGGAGAAAGAGTTGATAAAAAGAGGTTGAGTAAGAAAGTTAGTTAATTTATCCCGCATCCTCTTTATGAGTGACTAGTACTAGGCTACTAGCTCTAAGTGTCTTTGTTACATTCTCATGTTTATTTTGGACATGCAGTCTAGGGTATCAGTTATACAAGAAGTATAACCAGTGAATTAAAACACAAGTTTAAGTCACTAATTTGTGTTTTATCTTTTTTTCTTCACTTTGTAGAGAGTGAAGCACTCCGCCTCAGATTCTGCAAAGATAATTAATAGAAAGTGAAGCACTCCACCTCAGCTTCTACAAATGCTATTCTTTGTATTTACACACACTTTATTTTCATTAGGGTTATTTAACCCCCATCGTGTAATCTTCTAATGACCACACTCTAGTATTTTGGTTTTGAAGTCTTCTTTGAAAGTGTGTTCCACACCTAAGCAGTCTTTTTAAATAGAAATGGGATCAAGTAAGGAGTATTATCCTCCTACTTTAACTCAGTCTTGTCAATTTTATATCAATGAAATTTCTGGTAAAAAGTTGTATTTTGTGTGAGTTCAAATGGTAAATTGGGATATAATCTAATATATTCTTAAATATCAATAGCTTATTTATTTTTTTAAAACTCCATATCAGATCAATGTTGGGTACTATTGTAGTTTTTAATTAATGTTTGAGGTGAACAAGATATATCTTGTATTCTTGTTGGTCTGTGTGAGGACACAAACCTCTGGCCATTCATGCCAAGTGCATGACCAAAATGCCCAAGACATGTTTGGAATGTCAAGGGAGAACATGCTAAAGCAATTATTTTTATCCTTTTGTTTTAACTGTTGTTTTGGAATTTGTTGATTCTTTTGTCTGTCATAGTCTTTTGTATTATTAGCATTGAAGCTTTTATTATCCTCTTATGTAAGCTCACACATTGTAAGATTAGTAATGTGTTCTGTTTGTTGGAAAGAAATTCTTCAGTGATTGTTCTTAGCTTTTCATTGGCTTAGCTTGTCTCTCAGATTAGCCAATGGAGTCAATGTTATTATTAAAATTCTTCTAAAAATTCCGAGCCCAATCTTTGAACTTCTGTGGCAATCCTACTTTTAGGTCCACTTCGTTAGAATCTAAATTGATTTTGTTTCTTTTTGTTGTATATATATGAGTGAAGGGTAATGGTTGTTTTGCATTTGTAATTTTGTATTGGCCCAAACACAAATTTTCTTGATAATAGATGTGATCACCGTGGAAATAAGACCTCTAGTTTTTTTTGTGAGTCTATATTTGTTTTATCAAAGTGAACTATAACATTTTGGGTGATTCTTTATCTGCTACTTTCCCCAATTCTACCTTGTGAAGGAATGCTACGACAACCATACACCTGGTTTAATTGAAGTTCTAAAAAATATGACCAGTGAATTCACAATAATTTTATGGTGAAGACGCAAGAGTGTATTTAAATGTAAGTGGTACTTATTTATGTACTTTTAATGCATAATGTTTGGTAAATCTGATTTACGTAGTTGGAATGCCTAATGTTAGTATTAAGTTGCTTCTTATTTCGACGAGGACAAGGGGTGCTAATATCATGGCTCAATCGTCTTCCACTCCTACAAATGGGCATACACTATGAAGGGGGTTGTGTGATTTTGTGTAGATGATTTTTGCAGACCAAGGTGTTTCATGTGTCTACCAAATGGCTCCAGGGGGGTGCTTCAGGTCTCTTTTTGCAGACCAGTGGTGGTCATGGTGTTACTTTGCAGACCAAGGGTGCTTCAAGTGCTTTCGCATATCAGATGGCTTTAGTATTAGATTAAATTTTTTGGTGACCAATGTAAGGTCTCTTTTGTTACACCAGTGGAGGCCAATATTAGGCCATATTTTGTTAAGGGCGTGTATTGTGTAAAGTCTATTTCGGTTTTCTACATAGGCCATATTTTGTAAAAGGCGTGTATAGGGCTATGTAAAGAACAACTATGTGCCAAGGCAATGAAAACAAATTTTATGTGCTAAGGCAATGAAAACAAACTTTATGTGTGAAGTGGCTTGTATTTTGTTTCTTGTTTTTTTTTTTGGACTAGGGGTGCTCCAGGTCATAGTCACGGTGTTATTTCTGCAAATATGGGGTGCTTCAGGTTTGTTTTTGCATAGCAGATGGCTCCAGTTGTGCTCCAATGCTCCATGTTATTTTTTGCACACCGATGGTGTTATTAGGTACTCCCTCCGTCCCCCTAAGTTTGTCCCGTTTTACCTTTTTCGTCCGTCCCACTAAGTTTGTCCCATACCATATATGGTAACATTTGAGTGGTTAGAATTCATTCTTACTTTATTTACACTTTATCAATTCAATACCAACCACACAATTCCACTTTTTCTTAAAAACTACACCACACCCCTCCGTCCCAAACTTAGGGGGACGGAGGGAGTAATTTTTTGCACACCTCGAGGTTGAAAAACATGAGCTGCTGAATTATTTGGCCACAAGTTCAGAGTTCAAGGGTTGGCTGCAGAATAAGACCTAATTTTGTTAGACAAGGACAGATATGTAGCAATCAATTTGGGCCATCATTTACGTGAAAAAAAAAATAGACTTTCAAACATATTACCATGAACAAACATTTGGTTACACTGGGCACCAACAGTTTTAGAATCATCTCAGAAGCAACAATTTTAAATCATACCATACAGTCAAACACTAATTGATACTACGTATATACTAAATACATTTTTTCCAAATAAACCAACTGATACAAATGTACCTATTAAAAACAAAGGTAAGTACTACAAATCTAGCTACTACACTTTAAATTTCCTCCTTTTTTGATACATGACTCGATTTCATTTTCTCTAATTCAGCTTCCAACACCATATCACTGGAGTATTCAGAATCATCTCAGAAGAAACATTTTTAAATCATACCATGCAGTCATACATTAACCGATACTACGTATATACTAAAAACATTATTTTCAAGTTAACCAACATATACAAATGTACCTATTAAAAACAAAGGTAAGTACTACAAATCTAGCTACTACACTTTAAATTCCTTTGATACATGACTCGATTTCATTTTCTCTAACTCAGCTTCCAACAACATATCACTAGAGTATTCATTAAAGGTTTCTCCTCCTTTAATTGCCATGGGAATACCAATAAGGAGCTCAAACACAATCAGACCAATAGACCACCTGTTAGTTTTTGAACCTACAAGCAGAATGGGAGAACAATTAGAATAAGACAAATAGATCAATAACTTAAGCCAGTGTACTGTGTCAGATCATCAACAAGATTCTCACCATACTCTATGCCATGGAGTATCTCACGTGCCAATTAATCAGGAGTATCAACAACATAACTCCTTTGCCTCTCATCTCTTTAAAGTGATTATTTCACTTTTGGTTTATCATCCTCTAAAAATCTCATGAGTAGACAAAATCAGGAAAAAAGTTCTTGAGATTGAGCTAAAAGTGAACGGGTGGCCTTACAATGGTGGCAACTTACTTTTAGGATAATTCTAAGAAAAAACTTATTTTTAGAATAATGTAATCATAGTTTTCACTTATCGATGGAAGGTTATGGAATCAATGCCACATATTACATGCATGACTTTACTTATAGATAAGTGAAAACATATCAATGAACATAAATAACAAAGAAAACATATAGAAAGCTTAGAAGGAATGAAAATATGGGGGGATAAAGGATAGGTTAACTCAATGCATTTATTCCTAATATTTGTTGATACTCAGTTTATTTATTTATTTATTTATTTAAAAAGAGATGAAAATTATATGTATGTAAGAATTATATTGAAAACCTAAGGATATTTTTTTGAACTAAAAGCAAACACCGAAAATAACTTGACTACTTTTTTGTTTTCTTTTTTTTCCTGAGCATTTTTCAAGACTCGATCATAGCCCAAATAGCCAATGAAAATGGTTTCATTCAGAATTCTGAGATAAACAGTAGCGGGTCGGGCCCAAAAACGAGCCCGACGCCCGCCCTTATAGCCACCGGGTCCGGCCCCGGGTTGGATCGGGCCTGCACAATGCCTGGTCGGGCCGACCCAGTTCCAGTCTATCCCTAGTCGCAGTAGCTCAAGCAATAACAAAAACTTTATTAATAGCAAAAAGGGCAAACCCCATCCCAAGAAATCAGAAATGGTAACAAGTTAACTAGTTTTACATCAAAATTTATGCATTCTATACTAAAAGTTATAAGTTCTGCACTAAAACCTACAAATTTTATTGGAAAAATTATAACTTGTGTTTTTCTTTTTACTAATAGATTATTAAGTTTTCTAATAATACTAGTTATTATTTAGACAAAAAAGCTCACTAATAAGGTCGATGGATTGTAAATATAACCTACAATAACTAACTTGGATGATATTACTAATAAATTTGAATAGTATTTGGAAAATATTACACATAAAACATTATAAAGAACTGATATGCTCCTCTTACGAGTCTTGGCATATTTTAGCACATTATAGCAATATGTTACTTGGGCAAGGGTTATTGTGAGGCTTGCTACTTGAGCAAGGGTTATTGTGAGCGCCTCACACTGTGTAGGATTCACGTTATTTTAAAATACACTCAACTCACATAAGATAACAATTAAGTGGATAAATATGTACTAATTAATCGAAGACATCTTCACTATCAACCTATTTTTGTTATACAGAAAACAACTTTCCAAAAAAACCAAGATACCATTTGAAAATAATTAATTAATTAAATACAAAGCGAAAATAAATATTAGTAGAAATCTTACTAATTTAAAATCACCGATTGTGCCTATGCAGCAACTGCAAATCTCACTAGACCATCTGTAGCTCGTGTTTGCGTGGAAATTGATGTTACTAAAGAATTACCACAGAAAATATGGTTGCAAAATGGAGACATAGGCTTTTCTCAATCTGTGTCATATGAACACATGCCCAAATATTGTCAGGAATGTTTTAAAATAGGGCATGCCTCATGCGAAATACAAACATAAGTGATACAGGCTACACAAAACAACCAGCAACCAGTGATGGAGGTGACAAAGTGTGGATAAAAAAGCACAAAGAACCATCTAAAAATATGCAGCAAGATGAAAAAGCAGAGACTTCTAAGAGGGTTCAAGTGGAGACCCTAAATCCAAAAATTCAGGAAATTCCAAAAACCAATGAGCAGAACACTCAGGCAACTCAAAAATTTGATCCTCCACAAAATGAAGCCCTGAAATTAGCTTCAGAAGTCAGATCATTAGTGGATAAAATCCCTCATTCTGTGAACTTACTAAAACTCAAGAACAGGGATGATTCTATAAAGCATATTGAGAGTAAAAAATTGTGATATTGGAAGATGGTAACACTTCATGACTTCAAAGGGGGATAATCCTGAAGATATATACCTCTAATCATTCCAAAGAAGAGCGGACAGAAATCTTACATCCAACAATTCAAAAAGTTGCAGCCATAGTGCAAAACAAAGATACGGATAATGAAGGAAAACAGCAAGGAAAATTGCAGACTATTCAAACTACCAGGGAAAAACGAACTAAAAGAGATTATCACTTGAATCTTCCTCCAATTTTACAGAATCTCAGAGTAAAAAGGTTTAATCTTACCTGGTAACAGTTTTATTGGTAGCAGTCATGAGCTGAGTTCCGACGTAGAAGAGTTCCGGAACCGTCCACAAGAAAGAGATTCTACACAGGATTTTGGTAAGCAGATTCCTATTCTAATCGAATTTCTAATGTTGTTAGAAGGGAAGAAAATTGAAGTAAAGAAAATTGAAGTGAAGTCGATTTCTGAAGGAAAAAACGAGTAAAGGACAAGGGGAAAGGGCGTACAAGATTTTTGTATTGTGTGAGGTTTATTATGCAATTTTTTAAAATGCTAAACAAAATTGCTTATGTGGACTATCTTCCAATTATATTAAGCCACATGTAGAATGTACCAAAACATTCAGTAACAGGAACGCACCGGAGAGCTACCCAAAAATAAAATCCCTTATTTAATCAAACACCCGAATTTAGGGATAGTACCAACTTTTACCGTAAAATCGTAAATGACTCCCTAAATGCCAGGATTCCGGATTTGCTAATTAGCCCGCCAACTCTTCAAAAAGTCGCAGACATTTTTACGGAGGGATAACATCGCAGCATTTGCATCAGTGAGGCGCTTTCGATGCACCGAAGGTCGGAAGGTCCCCCCCGGGTCTTCATCGCTGGATTCGACGACTTCGACATGGATGAAAATTTAGTGGGAGAAGATTATGGAGAAGACGAAGATGAACGCGAAGATGACGACACAGAAGAAGAAGAAGAAGAAGAAGAGGAAGGAGAAGAAAGCGACTCCGACGAGGAGACAGAAGAGGAGGAGGAAGGGGTTGGTACCTTGAGGTTGACTCGGCGTAGGGCTTTATATGGCGATGGAGGAGAAACTAGGGCGTCGTCACAAGATGCGGTGGTTAATGTGCAAGGTTCTGAGATTACAGTGGATGATGGAGCAGCTGGAAGGGCGAAATTGGTAGAAAAGTTGGCAGGTTTTAAGGACAACGACAGTGGGGAAGAGCAAGATGATTGGAATATGAGTGACATCGATGGCTTGTTTTGTCCAATTTGTATGGAGGCTTGGTCTAGCGGTGGTAACCATCAAATCTGGTCAGCTATATACTTTACATCTCTGATTTTCTTTATCTTTTTCTTAAAATCGTTATATGAAGTGCAATACTTCTCGTTTTCTACAATGAGCTATCAATGCAGAGTTGGAGACGTACTGGCGTTACTGCTTATTATTTTTGTACAAGTTTTGCTTCTTTTGTTTCATTCTTTCTTGACAAGTACTCATCCTTCCAGAACTATAAAAAGTACTGAAGTACATCTGGTCACATGACTTGATTGCAAATAAAGTTAACCCCCTGAAAATATTTCACTTAGTACTCCGTATTAGTAGTTATACTAATTACATATTTAAAATTAACTAAAAGCTTTATTAAACCCAAAGACCAAATTTACATGTAATAAAAATTTCATATCTAAAATAAGACAAAACGGAATTCGCCAATTGGGTCGACTATGGAGTAGGATGTATAAAATGGGATAGATGGAGTTTTATCCCTTCCTGGTCTATATATTCTTAGTAAACTTGGCTTCATCTTTGATTTTCATTTATGGTTTTCTTGCAGTTGTCTGCCTTGTGGGCACATATATGGAATGTCTTGTATAAAGAAATGGTTGGAACGAAGAAAAAGTTCAGAAAAGGTTGTGTTCAGCTTCATTATGTTTCTTGGAATGCTTGAAGAAACCCTTCTTTCTTGTATGTTCATCAAGACATTGTATTCATCCCTTCCTCTCCTCTCTATGTAGTGTCCTCAATGCAATAAGAAATGCAAAATGAAGGACGTCCGGCTGCTTTATGCATCTCAACTTCATGCGGTGGATGAAAAACTACAAAAGGTGATATGTGATGCTATTTACTTTTTAATAACCCTGCAGAGTAGATTAGCATCATTTTTAATTGATTTAAACTCCTCTTTAATTGGATTTTGCTCTTCAGAAAATTCAATCACTTGAAGCTAAGTGTGCTTCATTGGAGAAAAAGGTGAGAAAATTAAACTTTATAATTTATACTTACTGTTCAGTGGAGATGTCTAATTTGCTTTCAGAGATCTAGTGCATATGGGTCTATTTTTATATACAAATAACACTACTCATAAAACCATACTGATAAAATCATAGGTTATGGGTTCTATATGCGATCACTTGTACATTCATGTGTCATGAATGTTCCAAAAGCCTCTTTTAAGACCTGGGGTGTTTTGTATCTGGGAGGGAGGCGTGAACCTCGAGGTGGTTTGAGGCTCAAGTGCCAAACTTTACACAAAGTTTCATTTACCATACAAAAGTACTAACAAATTAAAACATGCCATCAATTTTGAAAATATGAAAGTGAATCCTAAATAAGTGTCCTTGGCCAACATCATACTTTTCTAAAAGAAAATGTAAATTTCCATCATTAACAATGGAGCCAAAGACTCACTATTTTTTAGCTTGGGAATATAATGGAATAAAACAAAATGACTCACAAAACTGTTTGCGCCTTTTTTTTTGTTATGAAATAGCGGCCGATCCATGAAATTTTCAACGCAATTTTCATCATGGGTCATTCGGAAACAATCTATCTTTTCTTTAGGATGTTTTCTATTGGACTGTTTTCGGTTCCAGACCAGACCAGCCTTAAACAAACCAGGCCAAACTTCCATAGTAATAAAATACACAGAGATTAGACATTTACCAGACCAGACTAGCAAATTTCAGTCCAAATGAAAACATCCTTAGTACAAGAGTAAGGCTGCGTACATCCGACCACTCATTACCCCACTCCTTAAACCTCAGTTCATTTCCTTGAGGCAGCCGTGTGGTCCACGTGAGCCTTAGCGCATTTGCTCGAGGCTTAAGATTCAAAGTTTTTCTTCACCACCTCACACCCACGCAAGACTCAAAAACACTTTTTTAAAACATCAATGTTCTGACTTATATGATTTTGGACTTTCATTTCAAAAGGTCCTCTGGAATATCTTCACTTTTGGTATCTTCAATATTAAATATTGTATTAACATTCTACTCTGGTTATAACAATTTCTAGCATATAAACTATGCTTTATATAACATTCTTTTTATATAACTATTCTTTATATAACATTCTTCAATACTCCTTGCTTTATACTTATCTATAAGGGAAAGTTCCCGAAATAGGACTAAAACAGTTTGAAAATTCCAAAATAGGACTGACATGTTTTTATTCTCAAAATAGGAGTAATTACTGCCATGTTTGGAAAATACTGTCATGTTTAAAGTTTGGTACTGCCAAAACATGACAGTAATTAGTCCTATTTTGAGAATAAAAACATGACAGCCCTATTTTTGGAATTTTAAAACCCTTTTAGTCCTATTTCAGGTAATATCTCTATAAACTATGGTCTAAAGTTTTCTACTGGGCTTTTTAGTACTCTTCTTTTCAGGTTTTATGGTTCTCTTTTAGGCCTTTGTAGTTGTCTTCCACAGATCTGTGTGCCAGATCATCTTGAGTGAACTAAACTGCTGCTTTTCTATTAATACTAAAATAAACGTTATTTGTTATAAATTTATAATGCAGTCTTACGTTATTCTTTTCTCTATTAGATCTTCAAATGTCAAACCCTTATTCTGTAGTGTTCGGATTGGTGTAAAAAAGAAGTTGAGTGGCATCGAACAGAAGCTGATTTACAAATGCAAGTTTGCCGATTAAAAGAGGTACGTTTCTTGACTACTCTGATTGGCGTAAATATTTGAGTTATTTGGGTTCTGAGTGATTTATTTCCAGTGTGTGTACAAGTCCTTTCATCTCCAAACTCATTTTGTGGTTCTTCTCTTACATGCACTTTTCTTTTCTTAATCTATAGAATATGTTGGTGTTACTGCATTTCAATCATTTTGATTCTGAATGGCATAACGTTTTTTCATTTAAGCCATAGGTTTCTATTGCTAATAGAATGTGATGATTAAGTTTTGCAATCATTTATAGAGCTTCTGTATGAGTTTGGATGTTTCTCTAATATGGTTACACACTTCATATTTGTGCATTTGACTTTGCAGAGGAAAAATAATATGGATGGTTTGTCTAGAGAAATGCAAACATCAGAACTGTACACTTCAGGTAAAGGGATCCACAAGAAATACATGTTCTTGATAGCAATATGTTGACAAATATTGTAATAGATTACAAGAAGAAGCTCTGAAGCTTGTCGTAACATGTAGGTAGTAGTTGCAACCATGGTTGGCATGGCTATTGCAATCACTTTTGCTTGAAGGTTTGCAATTTCTCTTCTGTGATGTTTGTTATTTTTATCATGCACTTTTCCTTGTTACTGGAAGTTGGAACACATTTTTTCCTGCTGTTATGATTGTTGTTGTAAGCACATTATTATTGTCTTAATTTTTCTAGAAAGAGATGAAGATTGAAGGTGCTCGCTTTTTTGACATTGATGTTTCCAGTCAAATCCTCATCATTGCAAGAAGGCTATCTGGAATTGGGGGAGTACATGTTCTTACAAAAGTAATTCATAAGCTTTTCCACTTTGGCTGTAGCTCTGTTTTTTTGCGTATTATCCAAATTGATGATCAATTTCTTTCTTTACTGTTTGTTCACATGGTTTTGACAGATGAGCTTGTTTTCTCAACATGAAAAACAAGATATTGAACTTCCCCTGAACACAAAAGCGATCAAAGACATTCACATATCACCATATGACAGGCTTGTGCTTCTGGCTTCTTTGGGGAAGAAACTATCAGTTCTTAGGTAGGTGATTCCCTCATTTGGACTTGAACTTTCAACCTATTAAAATGCTTATGGACTTATTTTTGCTTATTTCTTCTTTGGCTCAGTACGGAAAGCAACAATACAATATTAACATATGATTTACCGGTAATATTTCTCGGCTTTGTTTCATTGTAGAGAGTAATGAATTGTTTTGGGTTCATTACTGTTACACTTTGTGTATTGGTATTGATTTGCTTTTTAAGGATTTCAATTGCTGGTTGCAAGCTTTATAATTACTTTAGTAGTTTGCATGCAGATGCATCATTTCTCATTAGCTCTAAAGGGTCGTTTAGAACCTAAAAATACTATGAAAGGAATTAGGAAGAAACTTAATAAGGAAAAATTAGCGGGGGATAGGAGACAGGTTCAGACTTAATAAACTTGTTTTACATGTCTGTTCAAACACATTTTTTATTTCTGAAATTATATAAAGATATAAATAAAAATAAATATATATTCCCTCCATTCCTTATAACTTTGCCAAGTTTGACCAGCATGTGAAATAATAAATTAAAAACCATGTGGTTGAGGTTTGTGTAGAGGAGAGAGAAATAACAGAAACCACAAATTAACTTATCAAAAGGGAAAGTGGCGAAGTGTTTGGGACACCCCAAAAAGGAAAGATGGCAAAGTTATAAAGGACGGAGCAGAGGATGTAAAAAATTTTAAAAGTATCATATTTTGTTTCTTTCTAAAAATATCACGGAGTTCTTTTCTTAGCATTTTATTTCTTTTCCCAGCATTTTTATGATAAGTGGTTTTGCAGGCTGCTGCTTGGTCTTGCTGTTGGGATGCTAACAATCCATACTACATATATGCTGGTTTACAGGTCCTAACATCTAACAAAAAAAATAAACAAAAACAAATTTCTGTGATTTCTCACTTTGTTAAATGTGTGAATTCTTGCAGAATGGGATGATTATGGAGTTTGATAGGCGTCAAACTATGAGATCAGTGGAGTGCATCGAAGGGTTAGCAGTCAAACCTATTCATACTATGCACTCTGTTTTAAATAGTCCAGAACGTGGTTCTGGTTCAAGAAGAAGCATATTGAGTGCATCTTCAGTTGGACTGTGTCACTGGAACTTTGGTGGCAATGGGCAAAGGTAACTTCGAGATGTTTTATTTATTTATCTTTCATGCACTTCTTAACAATTAACAATTCTATGATCAAGTAATGTAGTGATTGGAATTGGTTCTGCTTTTGTTTCTTTTTTAGAATTAGAAGTAGAATTAGAATCAGTTTTCAGAAGCTGGACTTGCCTAGCTTTTAAAAAACAGCTTCTAGGAGTATTTTGGAGCCCTTAGAAGTATTTCTGCATTTTCACCCAAAGACTCAAATATCTGTTTGTGCTCCCTGAAAGATTAGAAGCAGTTTTAAGAAGCAGATCCAATCACCCCTAAAGCTATGGTTCTAAAGGTGTCATGTGCCTATACAAAAAATTGATGCTTTCACAAACACATTTACTAGTGCCCAAAAACCAAAAAAGTTGGTCTGACCAGAGCACACCTTTTAAACTTTGGTATGACGAAGTTGTGATATTTCATCAACTCTACGTATATTTTTTATGTTTGTTTTTTCGGATTAACTGAACCTATCATACTTAATTTGTTATAAACAAGACCAACAAGCTTACAGATGAGCTATTTATTGATTATTATCTCCCTTGTATTGATGGCTTAAAATCACTTTTTACTGAAGGCCAAGTCTAATTCCTCAATCAGAGAATCAAGGAGTGTGTATTTCTCTTGCTTATGCATCAAGAACTAGTAACATTGTTGCTTCATTTCGTCCTAAAGTGGAGGTATCAGGCAACACGGTAGTCGCTTCTCAAACAACGCTTTCCCCTTCTTCTGCCCATACTGACGTGGCTGTACAAGGCTCTCATGTTGTGTATAGTATAGAAAGCAGCGGTTATCACAAGGTGGGCACTTCTTTTGCCAATGTCAGCAGTCTCCGTTTCCCAAAATCTACCATAATAGAAAGAGACCATCTAAACAAGGCTTTGTTTGCCTGTGGTGACGAAGCGTCGTGTGAACTGGTACTTCAAGAGTTGCCTTCTCTGAATGATGTTCTGCGTGTCCAAGCTCTTAGAGATCCAGTTCGCGATGTGAAGTATACGCATGCCACGGGTTCAGGACTGCTGAGTTGTTTGCGCCAGGATACTCTGCAGTTTTTTTCTGCCAAGGGTTCATGAAGAAAAATAGGTAATTTGTTGTAAATTTATATATGTGTCACTGATTCTCGTGTGTTGTGTACTTGTGTGTTTAGATTTCTCACCGTTGTGCACTTAGAAATTCATTGTGCTTGGGGTGCATGCATCTAAACATGTCTACTGTTAACAGTATAGCTTGTTTGGTAGGGTCTCATTGTGAGCTTTATTCACTAATTCATAGTGAATGAACTTGCTGGAGTTGTGGCTGAATTGGTCAAATGGCTGAAATATTCTAAATTATTTTTTAAAAATTGAACTTCTGCACTAATGCTTTCATTAACAGTCATTTCAGACAGCTCTATAGAATAAGTCAGTGTTTTGTGAAAATAATAGCTAATATTCGAAACACACTCGAAGTACAGTTCATGGCTTTGTGCAAGCCATGCAGCACTAACACTAGCTACTATTCCCAACAAATGCCTACCAAACACCCGGCACACAGGACAAACCATATTTGACCGCAATGGTTAAATTGGCTTATATTGATAAGAACTAGTGCACAAATTACCTTTTTTGACTAACATTTATACTACTCCATACTACTTTATCTTTAAAAGTTTTTAATAGATAGAATCGCACTTTCAGTCCCTCAAATAGTGCCCATATTGAAATGTAATTTCCGTATTATCAAGTGTGTAAATGTCACCCCTCTTTTGTTAATGCATAACCACAGTTTGCTTTATAGCGTTAGGCTCAAAATGTGTCTCAATATGCGGCCTTTAAAGTTAAAGACAGCTCGTATGAGAAGATGTGAGCTTATAGTAAAACTGTACAATATAGTCAACCACTTTCTGTTTGAATTTATTGCAGGTTGCTAGATTCTACTAGATTGATCACTCTAGTCTTCATCTTACAGCTGTACAGATGACTTGGGTTTATATCTGCTACTCAATTTCTTCTGCCTAAGCAGCGTGTATTTAACATTTCTAGATTGTTGATTATTAAGTAGCATAATCTTATGAATAAAGATGTGATTATGAATGATTCAGAAAATTGCAAAATGATCTCGATGTTACCCTTACTTTATCGCATCCTCACTCATTCAAGGCAACTTTGAGATGAGTTTATCACTAGGAGTCTGAGACACTGGTGGATCTAACATCTAAATTTTGGGTGTTCAAAGTTGTTTTACAATTAAAATCATGAGCAATAATATTATTTGATGGTACAATTCTGCACATGCATCTTTTCAAAAACAAAAAAAAACTAGGAAATAAAGTACAAATTAAGTAGTATACATGTAAAGTACAATAAATTATTAAATCAATTTTATATATGTAATTTTTCCCTTCTAATCTAAACTTTTGGGTGTACATGCAGATAAAGTAAGGGTAACATAGAGTTTATACAAAATATAACTTTTAATCACTCATATACTCTTGTATGAAGTAAAAATTATATTTCAACATAAAGTTTATAGTTAATTCCTTTATCAAGCCAACATGCTCAAACACATAATCATACACAATTTATTCTTAAAATTGTATATTATGCTCCTTTTCCTTATAGACAATAGTCTTCTCATCCTTAGGCATTATTAATCATTAATAATCTTTAAAAACATATTTAATTACCTTAGGTAATCTCATTAAATTAACACACTAATTATAAGCAATATAGTCAGTCATCCTCACCTTATGAAGTGCTGAAATAGTTGTCTTTGTTAAGCCCTTCGATCAATCCCCGTTCTTAGATGATTGGAGATGGAAATCCTGGACAGCAGACGAAAGCCGGCCGGCTTTTGCAAACGTTGGGCGGCTTTCGTGGTTTGCAGCTGTGAACAGCTTCCTTTAAGTGGTGGTTTCTGGCGATTTCAACCCATATCGATTCCACGACTCTTCTAAGTTAAATACAACCATTTTATAACAATATTCTACACTTTTAAACGTGTAGAACTCCATGTTTAACCCACCATGTGATTTCTTAAAAATCATACAACACAAAACTAGTTAAAGAAAATAGGTAGAGTTCTTACCTTGAACTCAAGCTATTTCTTGTTGGATTTTCTTCCCTCTTGTTTCCTCCAAGCTAGGACTTTGCTAGAGCTATCACAGACCGCTCTCTCCCTTTGCTCTTGTGCGTATGGTTTGGAATGATAGGGGGGAAATATTCTTATTCAATCAAGACCATAATAATGCAATTGTATGGCCAAAATAGTGGTTGGTTGTCTTCAGCCATCCTTTCATTCACCAAGTCCGCCCAAGCCATTTTCATTTGTCTCCAAATCATTAAATTGAGGCCTCAACTCATGCTGGAAATCCTCAAGTGGGTGTAGGAAGCTTCTCTCAATTATTCCTTCTATTTTTGGCAGGTTGGGCCAAAATAGCACCCGGGTTGTCCAAACATTTTTTATCAACTTTAGTTGGCACTTTATTGGGCTTTTATAATTATTACGATGACCTAACTAAATATTTAGTAGTCCATTCTCATATAATGGACCCGATAACTAATTTAATTAATCGCGCATTAATTTAATTAATTTTTATTCGCTAGAGAATTCAAATACATATCAACTTCCAAATTCAAGTATATCCGGGTGCGGTGTCACATCTTCCTTTCGGACGATTTGATACACCTGCGACGACTTGTCTCGGGAATATTCCCGAGCTTGTCTCTTCGCTGCAGAGTAGGTTAGTCCACATAAATCTGAACCACCATTAATGAAATTAATTACCTTTTGTGGCGCTGTAGGTGAAGGAGGTCGTTGCTGATCTACAGATGACTTCTGATTTCTGTGCAACATGGATTTCTTTTGCTCTGACTAGGGGTGTGCACGGGTCGGGTTCGGGCGGGTCGGGTTTGCAAACCCTAAACTCGTTCGGGTTTTTTTAATTTAAATATTAGACCCGACCCTTTAATATTTCAAATCGGGTATTTCGGATATTTTTAAGTCGGATATTATCGGATATCGGGTCGGGTTTCGGATATTTCGGTTATATTAAAAAAAATTATAATTGGATAATTAAAGTGTTTAAATGCCACTTTGACAAAAATTGTACACACTAGTGCACTAAACTTCCAAATTACACAAATAATTTAACACAAATTGCACAAATAATTACACAAATAATTGAACAAAAGTAATAATTTAACATATTCAAAGTACACACTACATAATTTAATATATTTTGGATATTTTGGTTATATCAAAACACATTATAATTGGATAGTTAAAGTGTTGGAATGCCACTTTAACAAAAATTGTACACAATAGTTCACTTCATATTCAATTTACACAAATAATTTAATACAAATTGCACAAATAATTACACAAATAATTGAACACAAGTATTAATTTAAATATTCAAAGTACACACTAAACATATATTTCGGATATTCGGGCGGGTCGGGTTAGGATTTCACAAACCCTACCCGCCACCCGGTCTAGGCCCAATACTAATCGGATTTTCGGTTTCGGGTTTTTCGGGTCGGATATCCACTTCGGTTCGGATAATATCCGAAAAAAATATCGGGTTTTTCGGGTCGGATCGGGTTTTGCTCTGCCCTAGCTCTGACATGATCTCCGTCAAGTACCCGTTCCTCAAGAGGTAGGTAACCTCTTTCCGCAAAGCGACACAATCATCCGTGTTGTGTCCGATGTCGTCGTGGAAGTCGCATCTCTTAATTGGGATCTCGTCGCCCGTTGGATTTGTCCGACTTCCCGGGCCATCAGACCTTCTCCCCCAATTTGTCTAGGGCGTTGATAAGTCCGACAGTGTTGACATTGAAGCAGTATGTTGGAATAGAAGGTGACAGGCTAGGATCATTAAATCAAGTAGTTGCTGATGCTACGGGTCGATCTTCATTCTTAGTGTAAGGTTTTCCTGTCCTGTAGTCGTGCTTTCAGGAAGTGCTAATCATCCTCAAGTCGGATGAAGGCCAACGTCATGGCCTGGACGTCTTCAAAGATCTTGCATGGAAACTTAGTCAGTTCCCTGTACAAGTCTGAATCTTCACGCAGTCCTCTCCTGAATGCTTCCACGGCTGTCAGCGTGTCACATCTTGGGATTGACACCTTCTCTTTGTTAAAACAATGCAAGTAATATCGTAAGGACTCATTACCCCTTTGGGTTACACGATACAAGTCGCTGGTTTGCTTTTCCAGGGTCCGACTACTCGCAAATTGCTGGGTGAACAAGTTTACCAGATCTGCAAATGAGTTGATGCCCTCGTTTGGTAAGATGACGAACCACGTCAACGCTGGTCCCGTCAATGTTGTCCCGAACGTTCTACACATACAAGCTTCTCGTTGGTCGGGTCTGACAAAGATGGCCAACATTCGCTGCTTGTACTGAGCGACATGTTCTACTGGATCGGACCGTCGAACAACTTCATTGATGGTGCAGTGAATTTCCTTGGAATCTCAACTTCTGCAATATGTCGTCCGAAGGGTGAATCTGCATAACAGGTTTGCGTCGCTACGTCAATCGGACGGGGGACCCCAGGGATGCCTTTGACCTTTTCCTGCAATTCCCTCAGCTCTTCCATGATGACGACCAAGGGATCTGTCGTGTTTGTTGGCATCTGCAGACCCACTGCTTCGAGGGGTGTTACTGCCTGAGTCGTCCTTTGTTCGGTCAGTGACTGTATGGTGATACCTCTGGCTCCTGACGCCTTTGATTGTTGATGTCGACACCTCTGGTCATGTCGACATGGCCTGGGACTTGTCACCTCTGGGGCTCCACAAATAAATTCCGGAACACATTCCTTCTGGGATTTGTGAGTGGGACAAGACGAGTTGAAGGCCCCGCTCCTCCAGATGTGTTGGTTCCGGAGTGAGGGACGAAAGGCACCGTTGGTGCTGACACGGTGATAGGAATCAGCATCTGCTGGTTGACAGTCTGCAAACCAGATGTCGGCGGCCTGGTTCGCAACGAATCTGGGAAGAAACACATCGGGATACTCGTCGCTGGAGTCATCTCCGGGATAAGAGGTTTGTAGGGCACGAGTTGTGAAATCACCGGGGAGTAGGGACCGCCGTTCGGATCGAAATTCAACACTTCCGGAAAGGACTCGGTTGTGAAGGTAAGTGTCGAGGTTGAGGCCGGTATTGGGTCCGTATCCCACCATGAAGCCGCAGACATGATCTCTTTTCCCCATCGCGAGCTGGAGGCTATGGCCGCCACCGTGTACCTGAGATCGTAAAGCGTCATTTTCCCTTTGGAGGAAGACTATGCGTTGACGCATTTCCTCTCTCACAGCCTTCATTTGTGCCTGAACATCGTCCGCCGAAGGATTAGAGCTCCTGGCTAAGCGCAACTCTTCCTCGGCGGCTTGCAATTGGGCTTGAATCTCCTCCATCAAAGCGTTAGAGCTTTCGGTCATGATCGATTCTTTTTTGTACGAATTTCCCACAGACGGCGCCAAATTGTTTTAGCCAAAATAAGCTAAACTCAGAATATTAATCGAACGGGAATCGAGCAAATAGGAATCGATAGTGGGGTGATTAAGAATGAATGAAATGTTTATGCTAACAATAAACTATACTGAAGATATTGAAGAAATTGTAATCATGCAAATATGGAATGAGATCAGCACGAATAACCAAGAAGTTTTTTATAAGCTTTTTACCAGTAGTCTATCAATTCTGTAGAGAATGTCCTCCCTAGGGTCGAATGTCCCCCTCTATATACGAATTACTCTTTCCTTTTTCATCTTATTCTCTCATTGATTATACATGATTAAATAAGGAAGTGGGAGCCTATTTTTTGAATTCCGGATTGCCCTCATTCCTCATTATTTCTTTCCTTGCTTGGGCTCTTTCCTTGTGATGCCGGTCTTTGCTAGGTTAGGCAGCCAGAGTCTTCCAATCTACGGTTGGGCTGCAATGCGTGGTTCGATGATGCACCGGCCCATTACATTATGGGCTTAACAACTACTCCCTCCGTTTCAGTTTGGTTGACATAGTTTGATTTGTCAACATTTAAGGAAAACATTTACTAAGGGGTAAATTTTACTGTTTGGGCACTGTTTGGACACTATTTGAACACTGTTTGGACATTGTTTGACACTGT